ATATTGTTTGTACATGTACTTGATTGTTTAAGCGAAAGAGGATTTAGACTACAAGGGGGTGTATAAATCAGTGTTTGATGCTACATAAACTGATTAAACTTCTGTTTCGATCAACTCATTTAGCCTTTTTTATTTGCTTGGCGAACGTCTATAGTGTACATCGCTATTTTTCAGATATAGAAGGGAGAGATGGATGTTCCAGATAATGTTATTTTCGAGATTTTTGTACCATGACCATTATTATATTTATTCTTTATGTCGAAACGGAATGAGTATAACTTCAACATAATGTAAACTTGTATTTAAAACAAAACATGGAATAAGGAAGAGTTTATGTAAGCGTTAAAATGAGTAACAATATTTGAATTTTCAGAACATTACCATATATTTGTGGGCGACTTAAGTCCGGAGATAGAAACAACGCAACTTAGAGAAGCCTTCTTGCCGTTTGGAGAAATTTCGTAAGTACTACCTACCTTGGATTGACTTACATTTAGGTGTACCTTTACTGTTGAGTGTTTTATGGTTTTTATTGTTAGTTCATCATTATTATCAGTTATCGCAGAACTATATATTATTAAAAATTAAATCATGACTTTCATTTCTCAGTGTTAATTTTATTTTCTCTAATTAGCAGATTCTCCTAGGAATTACATTTATGTTGTGTAAAGAGTATTGCTTCTTTATTCTTAACAGAATTTTCAAAGAGTTGATTGTTTTTACTGGACATTGGCAGAATACCGTTGACTTAGCAATAAACAGTTGCACGAACTCATCAAAGTAATCTAATCACAACTGGAACAGGTCCAGTCAAAGACTGCATGAGGAGAATATTGATTTAATTTTAACCCTAGCGAAACATGTTGTGTGTTAGTGGTTGTTCTGATTTATCGACAAGTGTACAAGTATAAATTTGTATTGTATTATCTTCTTAATCATAATAAGGAGTTTAGAATATAAATTGACTAAAGTGAGCATCTCTGTTGGAAGTTTTTTAGAGCTAGTTTTGAAGTGATGTTAAAGTGGAATAAACTGAAAGAATATGATGTCATTAAAGTTTTGGTATTGACATATTTTGGGGGAAATGTCAGTGTCACTCACCAAAAAAAATCCCTCCTATCATCAAGTTTCTTTATAAGCCCAACGAAGGTTTATAATTAAAACACGACCTTATTTCAAGCGACGATAGTGTATGAAGTATGTGTCCTTAAGTATTTTCCAAATTGCGTAACTCAAACGTAAGGAGCACACTCGAAAAAGAGATCTTTGTCAGTTTGTCACAAATGTTTGATAAACTGCAAATAGACGTGTCTAAAGATGACAACTTTTGATGTTCGTGACTCGAGGAATATGTGAAGAATCAAAACAGTAAATTAATCACAATGCAAGAAACCCGAGCACTTTCGAAACGTGGACTTCCTTATTTAAAGGTGAAACGGAAATATATTCCGTTATGTTTTTGTGTTGTTAGCAGCTGAGACTTGTATAATTTACCTTAGAATATTATCAGGACTTGCTGAAGTATTGTTATAAGTAACGAAAAACTAGGGAGAGGACACATTTTGTTTTTGTTTTTTTTTTCGTTATATTACATACTGTTCTCTATTTGGTGGTGGTATTGATTGATAGTCGAAGGTCCTGAAAGCTTCGGCAAGGTTTTTGTGACGATCATTGAATAATTATTGAGCCATTTTTAAATTGTATAATTAGGTATTGTAAATTACTTTCACCTGTAGCCAATATTTATTATACAGTCATAACATCATAAACATTTTATTTTTACAGACGTACCTTTCACAGCAATGCAAGTTACAGTAACGTTCTTTACTTAGTGACACATTTTATGACTGACAACTTTAATTGTTTATACACATTTGACACGTTATTGCATTTCTTACGAAACCGTAATTTTCTGTCATCATCATCATGTCGCAGCCAGTGACGTGCTTTGTCATTAGCTTTAAAATTCAGCTCTATTAAGTTGTTGTATGATAACGTACATAACTACTGTTCATATATAAAAATAGATCTCAGCTGTCAATTTGCTGAACGAACGAACAAGTCTCCATGTGCTATCCATACCGTGTTTGTTAAAAGCTGGTACCATATAGTTCCTCCCAAAATCAAACAACAAATATATGCCCGGTTTCTCCAATAAACACAGCTTTACTGTTCAGATGTAGATAGAAATTGACTAAAGGAATGACAAAGGTGAACAAACAGACAAGAATATTCCCCGCACGTGACTTCACACATTTTTTGTTGTTGTTTGAAGATTGTTTGTTTAGACAGTGTTTATAAAAATCTAACGGGGTTCGGGCAAAATGAAAAAAAATTATAATTTTTCATTTGTTTTTATCTTCTTTCCTGTAAGGTTAATTTATAATCACCACGATAGCTGTAACTTAAAACGAATAACTGTTGTTGTACTACGTAGTCTTAAAGCAGCTGTGAATTATAAATTTTATACGATTCAGGTGTTCGTACTTTAATTTTACAGTGCGTGTTTCTACATTCACAAGTCACAAAACTTGATACTGTATAAAATCTTAAGTTGTTTATGTAAAATACTTACATTGAGTGAAAGGTAATCGAATCAGACTTGGTACTTCTCTATCGCTGAACACGCCGGTATAGTAAGTAGTATTATGGCTGAAAAATCATGAAACTTATTTCCCTAAAAAATCACGTGAGAAATGGCTGTGCTCTGTTGTGAAGAGGAACTTAATCAGAAATTAATTAGGAGACGTAACAGAAAATGATAAATACGAGTAGACCAAACTGCCATGCAAATTAGACAATGTGTAAGAGTACGACGATGTTACTTTAGAATGGAACAAAATGATTCCATAGGTCTGAGACGTTTGTATTAACATTGACTTTAAAAAAAACTTAAGTTTTGTGTATGACTACCGACACTTAGTAATGATTGCTTTTTTATAGCTAATGGCTCAACTGCGGCCCGTTTTCAGATATCGTTTCGAACCCTGAACTAATATTGCACCATATTTAGTTCGATGGAGTGTGGTTGTAGTAAGAACCTATTGACGTAGCGGTTACTATAGTGAAGTAAACCGCTATTATAAAAACTACTCCAAATAGAAAAAAAATACTAGAACGTACACATTAATAAGTATAAAGAACAATTAATCCTGTTAACCTTTCTGAGATGATAATTTACTTGTAATTTGAGGCTAAAATTAATTACATACACACATACACATAGATAGTTAGATGGACAGAACTCCCTCATCAGTTGTGTTATCCGAAAATACTCAGACTTGGCAACATGTGCATCCTAATTAAGAGTAAACAAAGTACTTTTTTTTGACGTCCAAATAGCTTTTGAAATGTTGATCGATTCCTCCAAGATAAATTTATGTATATAAACGCATGTACTCACAATTTTTATTAATGTTATTGTCCTAGAAAAAAATAAAATTTAAACATCTTAAAGTTTCTGTGAAATTAAATGTTTCAAATGTTTTTATTTATTTCTAGTAACCAGGTTGATGATTAAGTTATGAATATTTAGGACTTATTTATTCAATGATATAATTTATAGAAATGTTTTACTTTCGTGTCTTGTTCAAGTTCTGTTTTTTCTTCAAATGACATGTATCTAGCACGTATTACTGCTCTGTATTGATTTTGACTGTTTTTGTCATTAACATAAAATTGTATTTTATTAATTACCGTACATTGTCTGGTAGCTGCGTTTATCTTCGCGCGCAGCTATTTAAATTTATAGAAAAGCGAGTATTCACAAGTTCTAAGTTTTTAAATCATATTTAAAAAATGCTTAAGACATAAGCCTGGCTACCATACAATAAACGGTACCACTCTATTTTGTTTTCATTGGTACTTTTAAAGTATAGTATATATATATACATATATATATATTATTATTATTATTATTACGGGACACTGATTGGTCTGTTCCCCTCCCCTTTCTTCAGATGATTGCCAAGGTGACTGCCGATGTAAGGCCTTCAAATTGCTTGCATTTATTACTGGACGTAGGCACATTTCATTATTATTTCTTCTTCTTTTTTTGCATTTTTTCGTTTTCATCTTATTTTTATTAGTACCTGTAGTTAGTTTAACCTCGGCTGAATGAGTGTGCTTTGTGTAAACACCCTAAGTCCCATTTGGTAGCATGCTTGCTGGAGGTGAAGTGCACAGGAGAAGCACCCAAACCATTATTCTAGCGATTCAAGGACTTACATTTATAAGTGCAATATGTACAAGAGTAAAAACATAAATATTAGAATAGAAACAGTGCCGTAGAAAATTAGTTGCTGCTCTTATATTTCCAACCAACCTAAATTCCGATGTGATATTCGTCTTGAGTGGAAACAGTCCTAATTACACCTGGAAATCTTTCCACGATATCGTTCACCCACCCACTAACCATGCTGTTTGGGTAACTTCAGTATTATCGATCCGTAACTCATCCACCATGTTGCTCGGGTTTTTTGAGTATGGGTCGAGCCCTCCCCAGTAGTTAGTTCACGCGGTTCGCGCCCCCTTGTCACAAAAAGAAAATTGTTTTCTTACTTTGGGGCCGTGGTGCGTTATAAGAATAACGGTCAAATCTCGCTATTAGATTAGAGTAGTTCAAGGATTGTCGATGAATAATTTTGAATAGATGCCTTCTCTCCGGTCTATCGCTTCAAAATCAGGGACAGCTAGCGCAGATAGCCCTCGAGTAGATTTGCTTAACTTCAAACAAACAAATAAACATTATCCGTAAAAAAGATATAAAAAAATCACAGACCTATATTTAATGATATCGGTTGATTTGGTTTTCGTTATTGATGTAACAAAGAATCGTGAAGGAAGTTGGCTTTCCACTTATCGTTGTTTTATAAGTCAACTTCCTTTGAAATGAAATTCTTTTAGGCAGGATTACAGTAAATTAATATATGAGATATTTTTTCTCTTCTTTTTTTCCTTTTTATTAGCTATATTTTTGTGCGCCAGCAACACCAAGCGTGGGGCGCGCGTATACCCGATTTTATTTTATTACTCATTAGGATCTCTACCAGTCTACCTTCAAATTGAAATTCTTTCAGGCAGGATTAGAGTAAATTAATCCACGAGACCTTGAGCGTGGTGAAATACATCAATCGAACAATCGAAAGAGTTTGACCTATTGAGTCCAAAACTGTAATTAGATCTTAAGTCGGTCAAGAGATGACGGAGCTATAGCTAAAAGTTTGTACTTGGGAAAACAGAGCCGTTCTATAAGCTGTTTTGTCGCGGCTAAAAATATGTTTTGGTATTTCACGTATAAGAAGGTACATCTACCGTCACCAACATTAAACACTTTGACTCTTGCTGCAGTGTCGACTAGTGAGGGGGAGAATAGTAAGCTTCTGTAGTGGGCATTCTAAATTCTTCAAAATTATATGACGTTAACTATAAAATGAACAGGATAGGTGATAGCTTTACCATC